AAAAATAGCTGGGCATTGTGACCAGTGCCTGTAGTCCCAGCTACTTGGGAGGTGGAGGCAGGAGAATTCCTTGAACCCAGGAGTTGGAGGTTGCTGAGAGCTGTGATGCCACAGCACTCTACTCAGGGCAACAGCTTGAGGCTCTGTCTCAAAACAAAAACAAAAATAAAAACAAAACAGCTTTACTGGGCGGCACCTGTGGCTCAGTGAGTAGGGCACTGGCCCCATATACCGAGGGTGGTGGGTTCGAACCCATCCCCGGCCAAACTGCAACAAAAAAATAGCCAGGTGTTATGGGCACCTGTAGTCCCAGCTACTTGGGAGGCTGAGGCAAGAGAATCACCTAAACCCAAGAGCTGGAAGTTGCTGTGAGCTATGATGGCACAGTACTGCACTCTACCAAGGGTGACAGAATGAGATTCTGTCTCTAAAAAAAAAAAAAAAAGCTTTACTAAGGAATGCTTGACACACAATAACAATAATTGGCACATGTTTAAAGTATACAATTTGACAATTTTGGCACATGTATACACCAAATGAAACCATCACCACAACTAAGATAATGAATCCGTCCATCACCACCAAAAGTTTCTTCAGTTCCCTTTGTGATTCCTCCCTCTAGCCCCTCTCATCCACCCCCATTCCGCTGCAAACATTGATCTCCATTCTCTCACTATTAATTTGCATTTTTAAGATTTTTAAACAAATGTAAATTATTCACCATGTACTCTTTTTTGTCTAGTTTCTTTTACTGAAATAATTATTTTGAGACTCATCTATGTTGTTTTGTGTATCAGTAGTTTGTTCTTAGGGCTGAGTAGTATTCCATTGCATGGATAAATTTCAATTAGTTTATCCATTCACTTGTAGTAGACATTTGGGTCATTTCCAATTTGGGACAATTACAAATAAAGCTGCTAGGACCATTCATGTACAAGTATTCTTTTCCTTTCTTTTCTTTTCTTTTCTTTTTTTTTGAAACAGAGTCTCACTATGTCTCCCTCGGTAGAGCTCTATGGCATCACTGCCCCCAGCTCAAACTCTTAGGCTTAAGCAATTCTCTTGCCTCAGCCTCCCAAGTAGCTGGGACTACAGGCACCCACCACAATGCCTGGCTATTTTTTGGTTGTACTTGTCATTG